AACCCATTTAGGTCTTTTCTAGTCTCATCAAGCTCTACAAACTGGTATATATCCGATTCAAAACGGTGCGTAACACTTGGGGACCTTCCCTCGTGAGTACAGAATTTAATTCTGCATAGAATAATGTTTTCTTTAATGAGTTTTGTCGGCAGAGATGACTTTAATTCAGTTCACATCTTTTCAAACTGACCTAAGTTTCGATTCGATCTAGCGTTTCTCAGAATTCCTTCGGTTTCGATTTGATTTGCATTTTCAAAAGCTCGAACTGATCCCATCTCTGCTTGTCGAACTAAATCAATGGATGTAGATTCTCATGGAACTGATGTATTCAGGACTACAAGATGTTTTCGAATCAAAGTTGACAAGAATTTTAGTTTTTGACCATGTAAATTCCAAAATAAAAATGGATCATGTTTTTTTCAATGTCCAACAATGTCCTTAAATTCTTGAATAGCTAATGAACGATATATTACTAATGCATTAGCAATTGATAAAGATGTATCTTCTTAGACAATACATGGTTGACGTTTACCTGATGATGAATGAAAACTTTGTAATAAACTCGATTTCGGCTGGCATTCAGTTCCTGTAGTAAAGCCAATATCAAGCGAATTAGAATTTGTCGATGGTGACACATATTGTTTATGTAAACCTTTAATTTACTGTTCAGTTTTTGTACAATCTACACGATCCAATGTATCAAAACCAAGGGGATCACAAGATACATGATGCTAAAATTAGCGAAGAATAGTGTCACATATTAATTCATCTTTTATAAAGATGAATACTAAAAATTGCAACACATACAATGAGGATAAAAATAATAACTCGATTGCTCTTAAAACTTTCGTGCAGACTTTTATATTAGGGATGCAACGGTGATGATCAAAAACCGTTCCACCGTCACTGTTTCACCGCTTGAGACCGGTGAAACGGTGGAGCGGTGAAGCGGCGGACCGGGCCCCGGTTCACCGGTGAAAGCCGGAAAGACTAAAAAACACCTACGGTGAAGGCCGGTTTTTTCTAAGATTCAGAGATATCTCTATCAGTGTGATCTGGTAGCACCACTGCACCGGCCTTCACCGTAGGT